CTGGTCAGGATCTCCAGCGAAGTTCTGGTTAGGATCTCCAGCCAAGTTCTGTGTCCATGTTCTCTCGCTAGGTTCCCCAGCCAGGTTTGGCCGCCAGGTTCTGTAGCCGGGTTCTTCAGCCAGGTTCTGTCTAGGTTCTCCAGCCAAGTCCTGTAGCCATGTTCCCTCGCTAGGTTCTCCAGCCAGGTTCTGTCCAGGTTCTCCAGCCAGGTTCAGTCACCAGGTTCTAGTCAAGTTCTCTTGCCATGTTCTATCCAGGTTCTGTAGCCAAGTTCTGTCTCTAGGTTCTGTGTCCTGTTGTCTTGTTACATCTGTATTTATACCAGTTGATTCCAATCCTATCAATCTCTATTCCAAAGGTTAGGGCGTTTCTTATCTCCATTCCAGGGAGTAAAGATTATGTAGCTTAAGCATGATTGTTCATAGTTAAAGTGATTAACTACCCTACCCACCTGGCACTTAGTTAAGGGGTTTTATTCCCTCCCTAACTTCAGGGGAAAATCCCTACCTGGGGAAACAACCTTTCTCGGAGAGGTGACCTTGGTTAAAACACATAGAGCCAAGAAGGTGAGCAAACATATTAAGAACAGTATGCCATATACGACAGGTCCCTTGAAACATATGCTATGAAGATGTTTCTTCCCTGCAGCGACTGTGTCAAGCAGCAAGGATGGACCGGCTCCCGGCAGTTGGGGGGTAAGGAAGGCTGGGTGAAGGTCAAGGGGGGGGTGGGGAGGAGACAAATGTACTACTCGTTGTAATATTTTAAGCAATAAAAAAAAGCTAGAAGAAGAAGAAGAAGAAGAAGAAGAAGAAGAAGAAGAAGAAGAAGAAGAAGAAGAAGAAGAAGAAGAAGAAGAGGAGGAGGAGGAGAGAGAGGAAGAGGAGGAGGAGAAGAAGAAGAAAATTATGAACAATAAAATGTCAATAAATACATATCTATAGCAATTGAATCTAAAAATCAAAATAAATGAACAAGAAATCTAATGAACAAAATAAATTGATGAATAAAATAGAATCAGAGGCATGGAAACATGTAACAGACTGACAAATCTTAGAGGGAAGGGGATTGGGAGGGGCAGGAAGAGATTAACCAAAGATTTTATGTGCATATATGCATTACCTATGGACACAAACAATAGGGTGGTGAAGGCCTGGGGCAGGCAGGAACCAGGTGGAGGGGGGAAATGGGGAGAAAAAAAGGGGGACATCTGTAATACTCTCAACAATAAAGATTTTTAAAAAATAAAATGCCACAGGTAACAAAAAGAAATTACTATGCAGCAAAGAATTACATTAGTCTATGTCCACTGAGAAAGAAAGAAAAAAAATAGCTGAAAGAGCATAATGTGGGATTTGGAGAAAAAATAATTTCATGCTCAATGTATTTCAAAACTTTGGCAATTTTTTTTTTTTTTTTTAGGTTTTGGATTAAATACCACATTCTTGACCTCAAACTTATTTTTTTTCTTTTGGAAAAGAGGAAGATAAAAGAAAAACCCTGTTGCCAAAACCTTCTCTCTTCTTCAAGGCCTACCATTACCTGGACCATCTTAACTCTTTCAAATGATTCACCATTCTCCTCTATGTAAACTAGACACTCACTTTTCTGTTCATTAAAAAGAGATAGAGGCATAATTATTCCAAAAGGAAGGGGTTGTGGTCTTCGCCTCACTCTGGATTAGAAGAGTAGTCGTTTCAGAGAAGGTGAGAAATTGTGACCCATGAACAGGTGGTAGCAGCACTTTCTCCTTCAGGAAAATGAGATAGAAAAGGAACTGCAGCACTACATGAGGGCCCACTTCAGTGAAACAGCCCTATCTCGTCCCTCCAAGATATATAGTAGAGCCTGAATTGGGGGGGCGAGGGGGGCACTAAGATATTGATGGAAACAGCTTCTGGGAAAGAAAAGACCTTCATCTGCAATAGCATTAGCCTAAGGTCAAGGTGTGAAGAAGCACAGGGTGATGAAAATAGCAATGACAACAAAAGTGCTGGCTACTTTCTCATGAAAGATCCACAAATCTATGTCTGCCTTGCTTTGGTTTCACTTCCATCTTCACTGAACCCAGAGTTTGAATTGCCTATTCCTCTGGTTAACCAAGTGGTGCAGTCAGAACAGTTATGTCACACATGAAGGTCACCTGGAACATCTGAGTAGAGTGATGTGTTGAATTGGCTCTGGAACTGGACAGCCCTTGACGTGTCTGATCCTGTTTGTCCACTTGCCCAGGCTGGGGAAGTCGTATGTGGGACTAGAAGTAATGATAGTGATACTGAAGCCAGTTTCAGGAAGAGTGGTCCTTTAGATCTGTATGAAAACTGGTCATCACAAAAAAGGGTAAAGAAAGAATATGACCCTGATAAGGCATCTAGGTGTAGCTGTTGACCTCCACCAGCCACCAGTAATTTAAGTAGAAGTAATAGCATGTGGTCAGCAAACTGCGGCTCTCGAGCCACATGCGGCTCTTTGGCCCCTTGAGTGTGGCTCTTCCTAAGCCTTAGGAGTACCCTAATTAAGTTAATAACAATGGACCTACCTATATAGTTTAAGTTTAAAAAAATTGGCTCTCAAAAGAAATTTCAATCTTTGTACTGTTGATATTTGGCTCTGTTGACTAATGAGTTTGCCGACCATTGAATAAGGCATAGAAAAGTGAAAGAATGTGAACATTTAAAAAAAAATGCAAAATACAATGTGGAAAAGGAAGAAGAGAGATAAACAGGATAATATATTTTTACATTTGAATTGCCAAGGGTCATTCTAAGAAGCTTAATTTTGATTTGCAGGTAATAGAATTTTAAAAAATTAAGCAATGATGCTTATAAATAGATTTGTATTCTAGAAGGAAACAATTCTGACAGTAATGTGAAAGTTGGATTGAAAGAAATGGTAAAGATTGGAATGGAGGTAAAGTAATTGCTAAGAAGCTAGCATAAATGCCTGGTTAAAAAAATAATAAGGGATTACAATATTCAGTAAAATTACAATGGGATAAAAAGGATATACATTGAAGAGCTAATTATGTATAATTCTGATAAATCTCATTTAAGGGTAAAAACTTGGAACAAGTTGAATATGAGATCCCAGTTTCTGATTTGAATGTCTTATAACAGTTGAGAACAGGCTTTCAAAAATCAAATTTATCTATAAAGTTAGACATGGGTGGAGAAAAAATAAATCAGCAAATGAAGAATCAGAACTTTGTACTAGTCGCTGAGCAACATTAAATAATTAACTCATTTATGCTCAATTTATTTTCCTCATTTATAAAATACAATGGTTGAAACAGGGCCTTCCACCTCTAATATCATGGCTCTGCTTACTTATATGTAGCAACTTTATATATACTAGAGGCCCAGTGAACAAAAATTTGTGCACTCGGGAGGTCCCTCAGCCTGGCCTGTGCCCTCTCACAGTCTGGGACACCTTGGGAAATGACCACCTGCTGGCTTAGGCCTGATCCCTGGGGGATCGGGCCTAAGCTGGCAGTCAGACATCCCTCTGGCAGCCCGGCCGCCTTCAGGGGATGTCCACTTGCCAGTTGGGAGCAGGCCTAAGCTGCAGTTGAACATCCTTAGCGCTGCTGAGGAGGCAGAAGAGGCTCCCTCCACCACCACTGAACTGGCAGCCATCAGCCTGGCTTGTGGCTGAGCAGAGCTCCCCTTGTGGGAGTGCACTGATCACCAGGGGGCAGCTCCTGCATTGAGCGACTGCCCCCTGGTGGTCAGTGTGTGTCATAGTGACCAGTCATTCCCAGTCCTTCTGGTGTTAGGGACAATTTGCATATTACCATTTTATTATATAGGATAGAGGCCTGGTGCATGGGTGGGGGCTGGCTTGTGTGCCCTGAAGGGTGTCCCAGATCAGGGTGGGGGTCCCTCTGAGGTGCCTGACCAGCCTGGGTGAGGGGATGAGGGTCATTTTCAGGCTGGCCACACCATCTTCAGGGTGGGGTCCCCGCTGGAGTGCCTGGCCAGTCTGGGTGAGGGGCTGATGGCTGTTTGCAGGCTGGCCATGGCCTTCAGCCACCCAAGCTCCCAGTGGAGGCTGGCTGGAAGCAGGTATCTGGGATTTATTTAGCTTCTATAATTGAAACTTTGTTGCCTTGAGTGGAGGCCACAGCTGGCCCTGGCAGGCGAGAAGCTTGGCTCCCTCCATCGCCGGGGCAACCAAGCCTCCTGCTTGCTCCAGCTCTGTGGCTGCTGGCCGCCATCTTGGCTGGGTTAATTTGCATATAGTCATTCTGATTGGCTGGTAGGCATGGCTTGGGGCGTAGTGAAGGTGTGGTCAATTTGCATGTTTCTCTTTTATTAGATATATATCTATAAAAAGAAGTAATATGCAAATTAGGCCAGGACGCTGTAATGGTCACGACCAGTTCAGGAGGAGGGGCAGGGCCCTGCCCCAAGCCTAAGAGAACAACATGCAGGTGTGACCTGGAGCCTGAGAGAACTACACACAGGGGGGAGGCCCGACCCCAGCAGCCCCAGAGTGGAGGCAGGGGGTTCTGCCCAAGCTGCCGCTGCCACTGGGCCCCAGCAGCCCCTGAGCAAAGGTAGGGGCGTGCCCAAGTCTCCACCTGGCCCCAGCAGGAGCAGGCCTAAGCAGTCAGTAGGACATCTCCTGAGGGCTCCCAGAGTGTGAGAGGGGGCAGGATGGGCTGAGTCCCTCCCCCCAGTGCACAAATTTTGTGCACTGAGCCTCTAGTTGTTATATAATTTTATTTCTCCAAAGGTAGGTTGTTCTACTCTAGCATTTCCTTTTGAAAGACATGGCAGGACTAGCATGAAGTGGGCATAGAAAAGAACTAGAAGTCAAGAAAAAAATAAAAGTGATAACACACAAGAGAAATAAGAAAAGTACTATAATTATGGAAGTCCGTTGCAAGAGAGTGAAGTTCCTCTTACTGGAAGTGAAGTGTACCCCCTGACTGAGTCAGCAGGGACATGAATAAATTTCAGCTCAGACGCTTATATAACTGAGCGGTTGGGTTTACTGTCTTAGACGTCTGCTATCTCATTGAGAAGAGCTGGAAAAGCTGCCTCTTCAGCCTGGATCTCAGAATAACAAGTACAGCCAGACCGGCAGCCTGAGACAGCTGTGTGGTTCCCAGCTTCTAGCAAACAGCTCTCAGCCAATGCAGCACAGACAAGTGAGTGAGCCAGGGTTTGGGGTATGGTTTGTAATTAGCGTTAATGTGGCCATGGCTGCCTGGTAACAAAGTTTATGGTTTTAAAATGGCATTTAGACTTTTGGATTAATTTGTACTAGAGATAAAGACTTGATGGAAAGAATCTATCCACAGGTTTCCCCAATCTCTCTTCTCTCTCTCTCTCTCTCCCTCTCTCTCTCTCTTTCTCTCATCACACACACACACACACACACATACACACACACACACACACACACACACACACACACACACACACACCTGCTTGCCTCCTAAAATAATTATTTTGGAGATGTGAAATAATATTCATACATTAAAAACTTCAAAATACAAAATTAGAGAGAACTCCATATCTTATAGGCCAGCTTTTTGAAAAATACCAACCCATTACTCTCTGTTTGTCTCTCAAGGAGATGACTTTGAAATATAGGCTGCCATCCTTGTATTTCATCCTCACCTCTGTCAAATGATATTAAATGATTACAATCATCTTAGCATAATGCAAATAGAACATTTTTTGTTGTTGTTTAACTTGAGGTCTGCTTTCTACATCTGGAAGTAGACGTTCAGCATATAAGAACACTCGTGGCAAAGTCCTGAATAGAGACAAGCTGTAGAGTATAATAGTGGTTGAATGAACAGAGCCTGTTAGTATCTAAGCTCTGCCACATATTGGCTGCGTTCCTTTAAGAAAGTTTTTAACATCTCTGTTACTTTAAGGAAATTGCCTCATCTGTAAATTAATGAAACATTTAAGCTCCTGTTTGTTAATGTTATTGAGTTTAAATTAAATCATAAAATGTAAGAGCTCAGGAATAGGCCTACCATAGAGTAAAAACACATTAAATATTAGGTATTATTTTTCCTATTATTATCATTAAAACAAATTCCTATTTCTTTCACTGAAGTCTAACTTTCCATTCCATGCTCAGTTTTTTTAGAATTGATTCCGTGGCTGGGAATCCCTAGTGGTCAAAATTAACTAAACATTTTGGTAGGTCAGGATGCTGCTGTGAAAAATCAAACTGGTGGCTTCATAAACCACTGACTCTCACTTTCTTTGCACTGAATCCAACGGTCAGAAGAATCATTTCAGAGTCCAAACTACCTCCAGTGACTTCTCAAACTGCAATGAGGTAGAGTGAACTTTGAATGGCAACATGCCAAGAGAGAAGAAATTATGTGATTTCTGAGGAACCTCTGACATATTTTTTTTTCTTGTGGTGGTGGTGGTGGTGGTGGTGTGCCCTCAAGTTCTGAGACTCCCTTAATTTTTAATTTTTCTATTACCTCGCTTACTATTTTTCTATTACTCCCTCTCTTCTTAATTTTTCTATTACCTCCAATATTTTATATTAATAAAAAATAATATTTTATTAATATTTTAATATTAAAATATTAATATAATATTTTATATTAATGTTGCATTTTCGTTTTAGATTGTCTTAACATTGTATTCTATTTTTTTCTTTATTTTTTTATTTTTATTTATTTTTTTAATTGCTTAAAGTATTACAAAGGGTATTACATATGTGTCTTTTTTTTTTCCCAGCCCTTGACTATCCCCTGGCCTCCCCCACCCCCCAGCGTCCCATGTTTATTGGTTATGCATATATGCATGCATACCAGTCCTTCGGTTTTTGAACAGTAATAGATACAGGGGCAGAGCTGCCTCAAACAGATTGTATTCTATTTTTAATTGTCTTCCTTTATATTATCGAAGCTAAACCCAGGGAGTGAGCAGGGATCTTGAATCCAGTGTGTTTACCGTGACAGTCTGTATTTTTTTTTTTTTACTCAGAAGGCTACATGGATGATGACCTAAACCTGACAAGTATAGGAGAGTCCCAGTCTTCAGGTAAGAAGCACGTCTGTGACAGACTCTCAATGTGGTTTGTGATGTAAGCACATTTATATTTTGCCAGTCCCTGCCTTCCACTCTGAATCCTTATCCACCTGAGAAATTACTGTCTCTATGCTCTTCATCTCTTCTATCTCGATCAAATTATTTTCAGTTACCCCATGTAAACAGTACACACTGTGTGAATAAAAGATAACTGATCGTTGTACTATTTAACAGCTTTATTTAGATAAAGTGACATACATAAAATGCACATATTGAAAGTGGACAATTTATAAATGTTGACATATATGACACATCCATGAATCCACAAATACGGTCAAGATAATGGACATATCCATCAACACCAGAAGTTTCTCCATACACCATTGTAATCTTTTTTACTGACACTTTCAGCATGCCCTCCGTGACAGCCACAAATCAATTTTGTGTCCCTGTAACAGACTTCCATTTTCTGAAGTTTTACGTAGATGGAGTCATACAGTGTGTACTCATTTTGGTTCTGCTTTTACTATCCAGCATAGTTATTTTAATATTGATCCATGCTTTGTAGATCTCAATAGTTCATGCCTCCCGTTATTTTTCCGACTGGTTTTCACTCATATAGCTGTACCTTAACCTATTTATGCATTCACCCATTAAAGAACATTTGGATTGTTTCCAGTTTGGGGTTATTACAAATAAGCTGTTATAGAAATTTGTGTACCAGTCTTTGTATGGACATAGGCCTCCATTTTGGGGGGAAACACCTATGAGTAGAATGGATGAATCATAGAATAGGTGCATATTTGTTTTTTTAAAGACACTTCTATACTGCTTCCCAAAATGTTCATACCATTTTACATTTCTACCAACACTGGATGGGATTTCCAGTTCTTTCATATTTTCCCCAATACTCAGTGTGGTCAGCCACTTTAATTTTAGTCATTTTAAAAGATTTGTAGTGATTTCAACATTTGGCTTAGTTTGCCTTTTTTAATGACTAGTGATGATGAACATCTTTTTATGTTCAATTTGCCATCTGTATGTCTTAGTTCGTGAAGTGTCCGTTGAACTCTTGCTCAGATTTTTTTTTACAATATATTGTTTGTTTCCTTATTAAGTATTAAGAGTTCTCTATATATTCTTGACACAAGTCCTGTATCAGACATTTGCTTCACAAATATTTTCTCCAAATCTGTTTCATCTTTTTATTTTTTGTTAACACTATCTTCTGAAAAGCAGATATTCTTAGTTTTTAGGAAGTCCAACTTGTTACTTTTTATAGATTATGCTTTTTGGATTTGATTCAGGAAATCTTTGTTTTACAATTTTATAGTTTTAGGTATTACATTCCTATGGCCCATTTGGAATTAATTTTTGTATATGGAATGTGATATATTTATTTTGTATATGGATATCCAATTATTCAGGAAACATTTATCAAAATGACTATCCTTTTTTGTGTCCGACAAAAATCTGGGTCTATCCTAGACCATTTGTCTATTTTTACAACAATGCCATGCTGTATTGACACCTGTAGCTTTATAATAAGTCTTTAAATCAGGTTATGTTTATCCTTCAACTTATTTTTCAGTTCTAGCCATTCTAGTTTTTTCCATTTTTATATAAACTTTATAAATTTTTACAAAAGAAAATAGAATGTTCAGAATTTTGTTTGGGGTTGTGATGAATCTATAGATTAATTTGAGTAGAATTGGCATCTTAACAATACTGTGTCTTTGAACTTATGGAAATAGTATCTCCCTCAATTTATTTATGCTTGCAATTTTTTCAGCAATGTTTTATAATCTTCAGTGTACAGTTTATGTGTCTTTTGTCAGATTTATCTATGAGTACTTAATATTTTATGCCACTGTAAATGGTATGTTATATTTTAATTTATTATATTTGATTCGTTTATGTATATTGATCTAATTCCAAAACATTCTACACTCACTTATTAATAATGAAGAACTGATTATTTTTCTATAGGTTATGATACCTCTTCCAACCTTACTGTAAAGTCACAAGAACACCTAAAAAGGAATAATATGAAACTTAGTACCTCTAAAATCATCACCATCATCACCTTCTTTCTGATTATTCTAATAATTACATTGACCACAATTTTAACAGGTGAGTTTTCCATGTCCAAAACATGTTCATGTTAACTCTCCTATAAAAATTTCATCATATGTGTACCTTTCATACTTACGTTCAGAATTAAAGGTCATTTCAGACATCTTTATGTATACAGAATAAGCATATGTTTTTTCTTCTATAACATGAGAATAATAGCTATATTAAATATTGTGAGGATAAAATTAACTTAATGTATATGAAATTTCCTTTGAAACCAGTATTATTTAGTCTTTATAATGTAAGGAGCTTGTGGTAAAATGTAAATCACCACACAGCTTCCTTCATTAAGAAAGTATCATTTTGAAAAAATATCAAAAGACTAAGCAGTATGTTTAGTGATTTAGTTAATAATGTGTCACAGGGTCCTTATCTCACTGTAGACTGATAGTAAGAAGTTTGTGGAAGATTATCTAGTTGTGTACTACTTTGCCCAAATATATAAATGTGAGTAATTTTTTTCCTAAGCTGTTTCTAGTTGAGCTCTATGTCTATAAGGATGAAAACTGAGTTCAAGATACAAAACGTAATCTTTCTCTCTGGTTATGAAGTTTAAAATAATGGGCCAGATTTCTAAGTCCTATTCATAATTCACAACCAAGCATATGGGTATAAAGAATTGGGCAAGAGAAAAATTGTTGCTTTCCTAATAAGCACATTTTTACACAAAATGTAAGTTACTTTTAAACTATAAAAGCAGCAAGATAGATCTCTCCTTTATGATAGTGAACTATGGATATCTCCTATAAATAACTCAGAATATTTTAAGATGTTTGAAAATATATGCATAAGTATATTATAATATAGGTGTACATATATAAATGTGTATATAATTTATACATGAATGTTTGTATTACACATATGCATTTAATGTATACATTTATAAACTAATACATTGAAACACATTCTATATACATGTATACATACATGTGCACATATGCATGTCTAAATATGTTTATATAGAATGTAGATTATTAATCAACCTCATCCTATGAAGAAGGCATTAAGATATATAAATATATGTATATGCATAATTATATATGTACCTAGATGTATATATGTACATATGCTGTGTGCATATATATATACACACATATTTATGTATGTGTGTGTAAATATATAAGTACATATAATGTATGGGAATGAGTTTGATTGCCTAGAAATAGTATGTCACTTGAGAAGAGCACCAAGCCTTAAATATGAGCCATAAGTACTACCTGAATAGCATTCACCAAGAATTTCTTTCAACCTAGCAATAAAATAAATACATAAAATTAGGAGTTGTTCTCTCTTAGGGAACAATGTAAAGCATGAATAATGAAGTGTTTCAGATTGAAGAATCAAAGCAATTCTGGTGGATTTCATTCACATGGATAATTGTTTTACATTCAGGACTTTTTACCCCCTAACTACTTAATATGTTTTAAAATCATTTTTTTTTTTTTTGTAGAAAAACACGAATCTTCCACTGAACACAAATCATGCCTGGATGGCTGGATTGGTTACCGAGGAAAGTGCTTCTATTTTTCTGAAAATACAACCACCTGGGCAGCAAGCCAAAACTTCTGTGTCTCTCATGCAGCAACTCTTGCTGTGTTCAACACAAAAGAACTGGTAAGGCAATACTTTTGAACTATAATTATCTTTCCAAGATTAGAGCTGGTCTGAAGAGTGCTACTGGAAGTGGAAATGTTCCAGAACAGACCTTATTACCCAGCATAGGGGAAGCCCTATTTTCCACATCACCTCAGGCCATAAGAAGCATCTCACAGCAGGCTCACCTACCTATTTTGTTCACCTACTTGTTTTTGTTCACCTGTTTGTTTTTGTTCACCTATCTATTTTATACCAAATGAAAGTTGCCTTTTGTGGAACTATATTTAAAAATAGTAAGTAAAGAGTCATAACAAACCATTTGTCAAAAATACTGGAAAGAATTATAAAATGAGTAATACAATTAATATCTGGGAACATTAGGGCACAGAATGGGTAAATGAAGAAACGTAAAATCATGCAATACAAACTTCCCCTAAACCAGAAATAATAGAGATGTAGAATGTCAGGTGGTAAGAGACAGAAAAGTTAAGATCTTACAGAGCATGGGGATATATTTAACATTTGTTGAACACCTACTCTATGAAGAATAGACATATGAGGGGTTGACCCAATATGAAATCAATTTTGAAGAACACTCTGGTGAAGATTTTAAAATGAATATATGAGGGCAGCTGAAAAATATAAATGAAATTATACATTTCATTCATTAAAATAGAAAATTATGAAAATAAAGCAGAACTATGGGAAAGTATCAGGCCGGTATAAAAGTAGAACAAAGGAAATAAATAGTTTAACTAAAAAGCATAAGAGAAAATACAGAAAAAGAGCACAAGAAAATAATCAGTGAGGATACACAAAGGCAAAACTATTTCTCTGAATAGACAGGACTGATCACAGAAAAGGAGACAAGATATACCCATGCTAATACAAACAACTGAGATTTAAAAGCATATAATATTACAAATAATTTTATGCTAATAAATGTTAAAACTTTAAAGAAACAAATAATGTCTAAACAATGATTTAAATAACTAGAGGCCCAGTGCACAAAATTTGTGCACAGAGGGAAGGTTCCCTCAGCCTGGCCTGCGCCCTCTCGCAATCCAGGACCCCTCAGGGCCTAAACCGGCAGTCTCTCAATCCAAGACCACTCGCCCCCAATCCCTCGCCTGCCTGCTTGCCCCTAACTGCTCACCTGCCTGCATGCTCAGTGCACATCATAGAGACCAGTTGTTTTGGTCATTCCAGTCATTCTGCCATAACGGTCACTTAGGCTTTTATATATATAGACTAGAGGCCAGGTGCACAAAAATTTGTGCACTTGGAGGGCGATCCCTCAGCACGGCCTGTGCCCTCTCGCAGTCTGGGACCCCTCAGGAGATGACCACTTGCTGGCTTAGGCCTGCTTCCCAGGGGATTGGGCCTAAGCTGGCAATCAAACATCCCTCTGGCAGCCCGGCCGCCTTCGGGTTATGTCCACTTGCCGGCGGGGAGCAGACCTAAGCTTCAGTCGGACATCCTTAGCGCTGCTGAGGAGGCAGGAGAGGCTCCCACCACCAACGCTGTACTGGCAGCCATCAGCCTGGCTTGTGGCTGAGCAGAGCTCCCCCATATGGGAGCTCACTGACCAGCAGAGGGCAGCTCCTGCATGAGCGTCTGCCCCCTGGTGGTCAGTGTGTGTCATAGTGACCAGTCATTCCCAGTCCTTCTGCTGTTAGGGTCAATTTGCATATTACCCTTTTACTATATAGGATAGAGGCCTGGTGCATGGGTGGGGGCCAGCTGGTTTGCCCTGAAGAGTGTCCCGGATCAGGGTGGGGGGTCCCGCTTGGGTGCCTGGCCAGCCTGGGTGAGAGGCTGATGGCTGTTTGCAGCTGGCCACACCCCTTTCAGGGTGGGGGTCCCCACTGGGGTGCCTGGCCAACCTAGGTGAGGGGCTGAGGGCCATTTTCAGGCTGGCAGGTGACTGAAGCTCCCAACCTCTCCTTTTTATCTTTTTTATTCTGGGATTTATTTACCATCTATGGCTGTCACTGGAGCTGAGAGCCGGCTCCAGCTCTAAGGCCTCTGCTGCTGAAAGGTGTCTGGGATTTATTTACCTTCTGTAATTGAAACACTGTTGCAGCTCCAGCTCTGAGGCCTCCGCTGCTGAAAGCAGATATCTGGGTTTTTGTTTAGCCTCTATAATTGCAACATTGTTTCTTAGAGCGCAGCTCAGAGCCGGTCTGCGGCAGGCGGGGAACCTTGGCTTCCTCCAACACTGGAGCAAGCAAGCCTCCTGTTCGCTTCAGCTGCCTGGCTGCCGGCCACCATCTTGGTTGGCAGTTAATTTGCATATTGCCCTGATTAGCCCATCGGAAGCTTGTCGGAGGTACAGTTAATTACCATGTTTGTCTATTATTAGACAGCATTGTTTAGACAATCTAAAATTGGGATATGTATGATATGTATGAAAAATTAAATGGTAAGCATGAAAGAGTAAAAAAATAGTTCAAGTAAACTAAAGTATTCAAATAAAGACATAGAAATAGTATAAATCCAAATAGAATTTTCCTCCTAGTGTCATTGCATAAAAATTAGAAATAAATATCTCATTTTTTAATGAAAGAAAAATCATCAATCCAAAAGAATTCAGAAAAGGTTAAAAAAAGGAGAAGAAAAATGGTCAGAAAACACAGAATTGATAAATTCAAATATAACAGCAATTGTGATAAAATGTAAAAGTTTTTAATTTATCTCTTAAAAGACAAATATACCAGATTGATTTTAATAAAATAACAGAGTCCAGTTGGTGCTACTTACACAGACATAGCTAAGCATGTAGACACGTGTGTGCATGCTCATACACACAGACACGAAGGAGATAAAGTGAGAGGAAAAGATATGAAAAGCAACTATTGACCAAACCCAAACCCAAATAAAACAAAAAAAAGTTTGGTTAGTGCTAATACTGTCAGAAAATATAATGTATTAAAGTAAATTATGAACCTATATAAAACCTGAACAAACCAATAAATATTCAACATATTTTATGACTAACCAAAATTCTCCCATCATAAAAGGCACCAATGCTAGGACGATTTACTGCCATATTTGACCAAGCCTTCACAAAACAGATAATTTTTCTCTTATATAAAATTATTTTAGAAAAGAGAGAAATCTACCCAAAACAATTTATTATAGAAGTTGTTACAGAAGTAACACAACCCAAAACTAACCCATGAATCAAATAGGGACAGTGTCACCTCTAAGATTATTTCCAAATCTGGAAGTCTGTATTTTGATAAAGAGTATAATGAATTAGGTGAAAGAAAATCCAACAGAAAAAGGCATTTTCTGTTTACTCTGTAAATATTCTTTATCAAAGGATTTCCTGAAGCGATATTCTGAATATTCTCACTATTGGATTGGACTGAGCCGAAAACCAGGACAGACCTGGAAGTGGGTAGATGGAAGCACCTCCAGTGATTGGTATGTCCTGAGTATATAATTTACACACCTAACACTGGGATTCTGAGCCTTTCCCACCATGGAGAAATATGGGTTACAAAATGAACCTAGAGAAAATGTGGTAATATAAAGTATTATACAAGTTACTTAACATCTATAATATTGTAAACACAATGCTTCATAATCATATCATTTTACCCTCACAATAACGCTGGGAAGAGAGTATATTTATTTCCATTTTAGATTTTTAAAATTGATGTTCAACAATATTGAATAAAAAGAATATCTTGCAACACATATTTAAAATGTATTTATTTATATAAAAACCCTGGGTGTAACGCATCATGTCTGAAGCTAGACCAACCGGAAGGAAGTCAGTCCTGCAGGGGTCACCTTAGAAATGACTGTGCCCTCCCTGAGCTGTTTCCCGTGAGGGTGAGGTTTGAAGCAGGAACCTGCCCTTGGACCGTGGATGCACTGAGTCCTGGGTCACCTGGCCAAGGGCTGTGCCCTTCTCAAGCTGTTTCCCACAAGGGCAAGGTTTGAGGCAGGAAACAGCTTTCAGAGCTTGGAATGAGTCCTGGGTCACATTGCCAAGGACTGCTCCCTCTCAGAGCTGTTTCCCGGGAAGGCGAGGTTTGAGGCAGGAAACGGCCCTTGGAACGTGGAGACACATCTTTATAAAGTTTCAATACATTATATTAGAGGTCATGGTGGTACTGTTTTACCCACAGCATCTACAGGAATTGCTGCAAATTTACTTCTTGGTGGAAGCACCTTTCATTCCCAATATAAATTACCCATTCCATTAAATGAAACTTCAATTTCTAGACTCGATATAAACAGTGAAGTTGCTAAAACTATTCAAAAGGCCCAACTTCTCATTATTGATGAATGCATCATGGCATTTAGTCATATAAACATCATAGACAGATTATTAAGAGAAATTATGAATTTGAATGTTGTATTTGGTGGGAAAGTTCTTCTTGGAGGGGATTTTCAACAATGTCTCAGTATTGTACTGCATGCTATGTGATCGGCCATAGTACAAATGAGTTTAAAGTACTGTAATGTTTGGGGATATTTCAGAAAGTTGCCTCTTACAACAAATATGAGATCAGAGGATTCTGCTTATAGTGAATGGTTAGTAAAACTTTGAGATGGCAAACTTGATAGCAGTTTTCATTTAGGAATGGATATTATTGAAATTCCCTGGGAAATGATTTGTAATAGATCTATTACTGAAGCTACCTTTGGAAATAGTATATCTATAGATAATATTAAAAATATATCTAAACATGCAATTCTTTGTCAAAAAATGGACAAAACGTTCAAAAATTAAATGAAGAAATTTCAGATATACTTGATGGAGATTTCCACACATATTTGAGTGATGATTCCATTGATTCAACAGAATATGCTGAAAAGAAAAATTTTGCCATCAAATTTCTGAATAGTATTACTCCTTTGAGAATGCCATGTCATAAATAAAATTGAAAGTGGGTGTAATCATCATGCTATTGGGAAATTTTAATAGTAAATGGGGTCTTTGTAATGGTACCAGATTTATTATCAAAAGATTATGACCTAACATTATTGAAGCTGAAGTATTAACAGGATCTGCAGAGGGAGAGGTAGTTCTGATTCCAAGAATTGATTTGTCCCCATCTGACACTGGGGTCCCATTTAAATTGATTTGACGACAGTTTCCTGTGATGCCAGCATTTGCGATGACTATTAATAAATCACAGGACAAACTCTAGACAGAGTAGGAATATTCCTACCTGAACCAGTTTTCACACAAGATCAGTTATAGGTTGCTTTCTCTTGAGTTCAAAGAGCATGTGACGTTTAAGTTCTAAATACTTCATCACAAGGGAAATTAGTCAAGCACTCTGAAAGTGTTTCACTTTTAATGTGGTGTACAGGGAGATATTAGAATAAGTTTAATCACTTTATCAGTCAGTGTTTGCATCACTGTTGTTTTTATATCATGTTTTTGTTGTTTTTATATCATGCCTCTGTTGTTATATCCTTTTGTTACTGTTTATTTATTAATAAATTTATATATTATTTTCATATAGATTTTACTAATTTTCTTTCATTTCTCACACTTCTACTATAGAGAAAGGGCAAATAGCAATATTAAAATATTTCCTCTGATTAATTCCCTTTTAATGTGCATGAATTTCGTGCACTGGGCCACTAGTTTGACAGTAAGCCCTGCACTTCATCATACAGGTAACATTTTAGGCCAGGCAAAGCATATGAATTCAGTTTGCTTTATATTCAAATAATATGGTGTTGGGGTTAGAGTAAAAGCACACATCAGAGGAAATTATTTTCTCTAAGTCTTCCAATAAGTATTCATTCTATATCCTTTTTCTTCTTTGGTATATTTTTTCAGGTTTCAAGAAATCGGAAAGGGAGAATGTGCCTATCTACACCAAAGTGGGATTAGTGGTTCCAGTACCCATTTGGTTAGAAAATGGATTTGCAGCAAACCGGACACACGTATTCCAAGAAGTTAAGACATCATAGACCTAAGATCTTTTACATAAAATATAGCTTTTATTCTCCTTATAAGAAATATGTTATATTAACATAAAAGTATATGAAATTAATGTTTAGAAATTTTTATTGATGTTTCACTCTAAATCTCTAAATTAATTTGTTATAAATTTACTAAATTCTTGGCATTCAAGAAGTATACACCTCAGCATCTATAAAAGTTCCCAAATTTTATAGAATAAAATTTCTTATATGTAATACATTAAAATATGAATGAACAATTTAAATGACATTTTAAGATGTAATCATGAATTCAGACTAATGTCATTTAAAATTACTTGTTTTATAAAAAACGATGATATTTTTGCAGTCTCCCTACTTTTATTATCAATAACCATTGGTTGGTTTTCTTTTAATTTTGCAATATTTGCATTACTTTATGAGATTCACTCATGAATTCAGTGTAATTCAAACACAATAACAGTGTTTAAATTTGTTGATTTATTATATTAAAAAATCTCTTTCACACACCAACCTCACAGCAAAAAACTAAAGCAATAATAAGATTTCACATTCAGAACATCATGTGAGGGGCCTTCAAGTTTCTGAGTAACCAGTCTTGAACTAGCAGTGTTCTATTTTTGAATGCCAATAACTTATTGCATAATGGGAAAATGGATAATAAACATTCAGTGGGTAGATGGGTGGGGGACTGGGTTTGAATTTTGCTGCTCAATTTTCTCTCTATTTGAGAAAACAAATTAGGTTCTGCATCATACTGTATTCTTCTTAGAGTATATTGTCTTTATATTTACTCAACATTACCAATTTCCCTTTGTAAAACAATCCTTTTCTAAAAGTTCTTGTGAAATCTGTGATCTGCATCCTATGGATACTTAATGTATATTCATTGATAGAAGTTTGAATAATTGTAACAGAACACATATTGAAGATGGCACTAGTAGTAATTTGGGAACTAACTTAGTAAAGTTTCTTATCTTTTTTTTATAGACCATAATAAGTTTTCCATCTTTTTCTCCTCCCTCTTCACCTTCATTTTTACTTTCTTTTCCTCCCTGTACTCCCCCTTTTCCCTCATTCCTTATATTGATTTTTTAAAAAGAGGAAAGGAGAGTGTTAAAAAGAAACATTTATGAGAGAGAAACTTCATTGATTCTCTGACTGCCTCCTGCTCGCCCCCTAGTGGAGATCGAGCCTGCAACCAGGCATGTGCCCTGACAGGGGAGGAAATTTCCTTTCGAATTGAAATCAACCATTTCATGAGTCTTTAGAAAACTCATGACTTTGTTTTTAAGGTCTTTATTTTGACTATATTCTTAAGGTCTTTACTTTACCAGACTGTATAGTATTATTACTACATCGTTCTCCTGTATCAGGAGTAAATAAAATTATTTTTATTGAAAACTAGAATGTAAGAAAAGGATGACAAGGAACTTGGTATTAAATCTACAATTAGTTTAGAAAATTAGACACTGAATAGATGAACCTTCAACATTTCATTACCAAAGAGAGTAAGAAGTTCAAAAATAAATGCATATAAGATATATGAAAGGTTCAGTGACAACACATGGAGAAAATGTCCAAAACTTGAGAAAGAGGATCCTAGCAAAATTCTTACAGAGAAAACATTTTTAAGCTGACAATTAAAGAAAGTGGTGGTTTTCCAAGGAGTAAATTCTCTGGAAGAACGTTTGTGAGGGTACCAAGTATTGCATAATTGAGAAATTATAATAGTCTGAAAGCATGGGAATGAGAGGTATGAGAGGGCAAAGAACAAGATTTGGGTTTGAGGGAGGGAGGGAGGGTTATATTTAGGGGAAATTATACTCCATGCTAAGGGAAGTTTATTCTTGATTCCATAGGTTATTGCTCTAAAGTTATTGAACACTTATACCCAGGATAATATTGCCTTCAAATATAAAATTTAGAATAACTCTCATGGCAATATAAAATCTCTCTGATGGACCAAGAAATGATTTAGAAGGTTGTCCAGAAGGTTGTCTAGAAGAAGAAATAGGCATTTCAGAAGATAGAGATGTAGCAATACTCTGAAATATAAGATATGCAAAACTTCTCATACTGAATATTGTCTAAGCTCAAATAGGAAAACATATTAATGCTTCTTTGCTCTTTCAATTATATCTTCACTAGAGGCCAGGTGCACAAAAATTTCTGCACTCAGGGGGGTCCCTCAGCCCGGCCTGTGCCCTCTCGTAGTCTGGGACCCCTCGGGGGATGTCCACCTGTTGGGATTGGGCCTCTGGCAGCCCGGGAGCCCTCGGGAGATGTCCACTTGTCAGTGGGGAGCAAGCCTAAGCTGCAGTCAGACATCCTTAGCGCTGCTGAGGAGGCAGGAGAGGCTCCCACCACCACCACTGTACTGGCAGCCAGCAGCCCTGGCTTGTGGCTGAACAGAGCTTCCCCTGTGGGAGTGCACTGACCACCAGGGGGCAGCTCCTGCATTGAGCATCTGCCCCTTGGTGGTCAGTGTGTGTCATAGTGACCAATCATTCCCAGTCGTTCTGCTGTTAGGGTCAATTTGCATACTACCCTTTTATTATATAGGATAGAGGCCTGGTGCATGGGTGGGGGCCAGCTTATTTGCCCTGAAGGGTGTCCCAGATCAGGGTGGGGGTCCCACTTGGGTGCCTGGCCAGCCTGGGTGAGGGGTTGATGGCTGTTTTCAGGCTGGCCATAGCCCCTTCAGGGTGGGGGTCCCTGCTGGGATGCCCGGCAGCCTGGGTGAGGTGCTGATGGCTGTTTGCAGGCTGGCCACAGCCCCTTCAGGGTGGGGGTTCCCCTGGGGTGCCTGGCCATCCTGGATGAGGGGCTGATAGATGTTTGTAGGCTGATCACGGCCCCCAGCCACCCAAGCTCCTAGTGGAGGCTGGCTGGAAGCAGGTATCTGGGATTTATTTAGCTTCTATAGTTGAAACTTTGTTGCCTTGAGTGGAGGCTACAGCCAGCCAGGGCAGGCGGGAAGCTTGGCTTCCTCCATCGCCGGGGCAACCAAGCCTCCTGCTTGCTCCAGCTCCGTGGCTGCTGGCCACCATCTTGATTGGGTTAATTTGAATATAGTCGCTCTGATTGGCTGGTGGGCGTGGCTTGGGCATAGCAGAGTTTCGGTCAATTTGCTTGTTTCTCTTTTATTAGATTACATTGTATTAGCCCTCTTTATAATAGAGCAACAATGTCAAGAATCTTTTGTTATGACTCTTTACTTTTATTGTCATTAATGCTATTTAATATTTAACATTAGGCCCCTTTACATGAATTTTGTACAAGGGTCTTGGCCCTCGTAGCCCCCGCTTCATCCAGACGGTCATCTGGAAGGTCGTTTTGCTGTCTGGCTTAGACAATTAGCATATTATGCTTTTATTGTTATGGATAACATAGATTTTAAAGTGTCTGTCTTGAGTTTATTAATTAATACTAAAATAAAGTTGTTAGTTTAAAACCAATTGATGTTTTGGTGTTTGTGTGTGTGTGTGTGTGTGTGTGTGTGTGTGTGTTTTCAATAAAATCACAAATATACTCATATCTCTCTTGTGGGATAGTAATAGGTAATTATGCCTAGAAGTACATATCTCTAAAATTCTGGAAAGACAAGTTTAAGATTTAAAGCTTTTTATACTTGAATAAAATTTTTGTTATACTTTTAAGTATTGTATATATACTAGAGGCCCGGTGTATGACGATCATGCACTTTTGCAGGTGGAGGGGGGGAGGGATCCCTTAGCTTGGCCTATGCCCTCTCACAGTCTGGGAGCCCTGGAGGTATATCCAAATGACTGCTTGGGTGACTCCAGGGGAAGCAAGCCTAAGGTGCAGTCAGACATCCTTAGCCCTGCTGCAAAGGCGGGCTGTGGAAGCAGGCCACTGCGCTCACCAGCTGTCATCCTGGCTTGTAGCTGAGTGGCACTCCTCCTGTGGAAGTGCACTGACCACCAGGAGACAGCTCCTGAGTTGAACATCTGCCCCCTGGTGGTCAGTGCCCATCATAGTGACCGGTCATTCCACCGTTCAGTTGATTTTCATACTACCCTTTTATTACATAGGATGTGCACTTAGTTTTAAGTGTAAATGTATATATGTGTATGCATATATACTAAGTATAAATAAAGTATGAAAGTATCATGTTAATTTTATAGTAATTAGTAGGAAAGCCAAAGCGTTCAAAATAATTGGGTATAAGTGAGGAAAAAAGATATCAGGAACATAATCTTGTTATTTTGTGAGATTAAATATAGATACTTTATTTTACTTAAGAGATGCTTACTTGGAAATGGGAATGCTAAATCAATTGATGTAAGGTATCTATGGACATATAGTCCCAGAATAGTAATGCAATCTTTATGAACAATTTACTATTAAGGGCTTATTGATTGATTCTTTTATCTTTTTGAAGTTCTGTTTTTGGATTTGTTCAAAGCAATACCCAACATGCATCTCAGTCTTACACCCGTGAGTTGACATATCATTCAATGTACATTTTAACCATTAAACACAATTTGCTTGTCTTTGGGGAAATAATCAAACTATCTTCTGGGAATTAACAAAGAAATTCAGTAGGACAATAAAAATAATGGCAGAAAGGGAGCCCACAGAGCAGTAAAGAAGAAAAGTAGTATGGAGAGTTCAAGCTCCTTTGCCAGGGCCGTTCAAACATGTTCATTCACTCTGCCGAACTGGCTACTTAGGAAATCAACAACCAACGTTGAAAAGGGTGTCATTAGATAAGATGCACCTTACCATGCTAACATACTGTCAGAGAGAAACATGTTGGGAGTGGCAAGTGTGCCCATATAACTTGTCATTTTCTTATTTTCACACTTTTAACCTACCTAACATTAGATCTTTTTTTTTTTTTTTTGGTTGTTAGAGGTAATGTGTCAGATAAGCTGAAAAATAGTTAACATAGTATAAACTTTTCAAAGAAGGTAAAAGGACCAAGACCAACAGGAGCAGAAAATGACATAAAAGACTTCAGGAGTAAAGGAATCTAAGCTGTTTTTCCTTTCTTAGGGAGAGAGGCAGACATGACACTCAGCTACAATAGGAGTCTAAGTGGGAAGTTGGAAGTGGTCTCATTGAAGCCCTTACCTACTGAAACCATATTTTCCCCATTTGCAAACAAGCACATAAACACATAAACACACATTCATTCCAAAAGAATTCTAAGCTTTAAAGATAAAAACTTTTGAAGTGTCATAAATTATAATTGTCTCATTTATTCCTGAAGCTTTTTCCTCTAAGAATCTTCTAATTTACATTATTTAATATGCTTCCTTCTCGACAACTAGGATTACTATATAATTAAAAATATTAATTTGGAGAACTGTGTCATCTAAGAATGACTTTGGTTGTTATGATTCAGATAATCTGCTGTATCAAAATATATATAGGTATCTATACTAATAAAAGGGTAATATACTAATTAAAGCAGACATCTTCTGGATGTCCATCCAGACAAAGCCACAGCCGCGGTGAGGGCCTAGGGCCGGCGCCGCATGGGAGAGGTGGGCTGGTCCAGCCCTGCCAGTCCAGCGCCACAGCCCCTTCTGCAGAGGCGGAGAGAAGGTGGCACCATGCCCCTTCTGCAAAGGTGGCGCGGGACAGGCTGCAGTGTGGCCCGGTCCCAGTGCTGCCCCTTCTGCAGAGGCAGCCACAGAGGCAGCAGCATGGGCCTAGTCCAGGCGCCAAACCTCAGCAGAGGCTGGCCGGTGTGCAACCTACTGTGCCTCAACCTCCCACAGCCCCTCCCCCAGCCCCCCTGGCCCCAGATCACCCCCCACCCACCAGTGGGTGGGGAACAGGGCCAGTGCTAAGAAGCAAGAGCCAAGGGCTGGCCACTAAGGTAGCCAGCAGTGGCAGCAGCAGCAGGGTGATGGGGGCAGCGCCTTTCCCTGATCATCCTGGTCGCCTCCCACAGAGGAGGACATCCCCTGAAGGCTCCTGGACTCTTAGAGGGTTCAGGCTGGGTTGAGGGACCTCCGCACTCCAGTGCACAAATTTTCATGCACCGGGCTTCTAGTAGATATATAATGGAAATAATAAGACAAGCTTTGATTTTTATTAGTCATGGCTAATTAA